CTGCTGCTCCGCTAGAATCTGTCCTGCCCCTCTCTTTGATTTTGAACAGGATAGATTGCAGTCTGCTGTTGCGCACTGGCTCGCTTCGTATGATGCCGCTGCCTCTTTCGCCCCCGCCCCCCCTTCTCGCCGGTTGGTTTGTCGTCTGTCCATCCCTGCTCCAGACGCACCCACGCGCAACAGGGGTACTGGCTCTGTGCCTACGGCAGTGGTTCGCCATCTGTTACGCAGTGCCCTGGCGCAATGCTGCCATGCCAACCCATGCTACGCTACGCTGAGCTATGCCGCGCAGTGTTTTGCTACACTGTTATGCTACGCTGTATTGTGCTTTGCTGCTTACCGGTCCACGCACTGTTTTCACTTTTTGCCAGACTATTCCACGCTGGGCTCTGATGTGCTCGACGATGCTAGGCTTTCACGCGGTACTGCGGGCTACTGCTCAAGACAATGCGTTGAGTCGCTGTTTTCGAGCTGCGTACGTGTTGGTGCCCATCAAGTGTCAGTATGTGATGCTTCGTCGAATGGCCTCTCCGCTACGTGATGTACTTCGATTATGATGCTGTCCATTCGTGTGGTTTGCTCCCTTGGTTCCTTCGCCGCGCATGGCACTGCGCGGGTCAGCTTCTGTTCCTTCCGCTCCTTCTCCTCCTCCTCCCCCTCCTCCTCCTCCTCCTCCTCCTCCTCCTCCTCCTCCTCCTCCTCCTCCTCCTCCTCCTCCTCCTCCTCCTCCTCTTGCTTGAAAAAGAGATAAGCAAAACATGCCCACCTGAGGCAGCTCTTTCCCTTCCCCTCCCCGGCCTCCCCGTCCCTCGGGCCTCCACGCCTCGTCCCCCCTCTTCCCCTCCCCCCTTCCTGCGGGCCAGGGGCCGGCCCGACCCCCGCGGCGACACGCGGCCGCAGCGCGCATCTCGCGCGGCGCCTCTGCCGACGGCGGGGGCAGGGGCAGGGCAGCGGACCGAGGGGTGCACAGAAGGCGCGAGGGGACTAAGGGAGAGGATGACAGGGTACAGTCAATTGGTGGTCTCCAAACCAGGTGGTGAGACACCCGGTGGTGACCCTGATTCCCCCAAAAAATAATTCTGGGTCAACACCAGGTTTGGGGACACGCGGTCGCCACGAGGTTTTGCGTTTCCTGGGCCAGCCAGCGCTCGAAAACCATTACCCAAATCGCCCAAAACTCACCACCGGGTGTTCTCACCACCACGTTTGGGGACCACCAAGTCAATTTGGGCGCCCGAGTTATCCGGGGGCAACTCGGGTCCGGGGTAACTCGGGTTTGGATTCCCGAAAAAGGAACCCGAGTTGGCCCTGACCCGAGTTACCCCTGATGATGTGGGCTCTGGACGCCCGAATTATCCTTTGTAACTCGGGTCCAGGGTAAGTCGGGTTCGGATTCCCGAAAAAGGAACCCGAGTAAGCCCTGACCCGAGTTACCCCTGATGATTCGGGGCTCTGATCAATGGTGCCACCATGGGGGCCGCTGGCGGGAGGAGCGAAGGGCCTCTCCTTGCCACGGCGAGCCCCTGCCTCGAAGAGGCCCCCCGCGACCCGGATCTGAGGAGCGGCCCGAAAGGAAGGGCCCCTCTCCTGAGCCCGAAGTGGGCGTTACGTTAAGCGTCTGTTGGCTGCGGGGGGCGAGAAGCGGAGCGCTTTCTTCGGGTGGAGGGCTCGGGGTGAAATCCATATGGGCTTCTGCACCTCGAAAATCAATCCGTCTTGTGATTCACCTTTTGCGGCTTCGGGCCTCGAAAATCAATCGAAACGGCATTTCAGATTACACCATTTGCCCTCCACCCAAAGAAAATGCTCGGAGAAGGGACAGACGCGATAGGACGGGACAGAGGGGTACGAGGCAAGGCGAGTAGAAGAATAGCAAACAGCATGCAGCATACACATCAACTGTCGGAGGTCCGCGCGGAGTTCCTGAAACTGCGCCGAACCCGCCTGGCGCCGCTCCTCGCGCGACACAGAGCGCGCCACAGAGGTGGGCTCAGCGCAGATCCAAGAAATCCGCACGGGCCAACGAAAGTTCATGTTTGCACAACTCTTCCTTTTTCGAGCGAGGGTCCAGTTGATGGGCCGATTTTCCACCACCACTGCCATAGGTAAGACAGGGGAGTAGGGACACATGGGGAGGTCCTTCTCCTCCTCCTCCTCCTCCTCCTCATCCTCCTCCTCCTCCTCCTCCTCCTCCTCCTCCTCCTCCTCCTCCTCCTCCTCCTCCTCCTCCTCCTCCCCCTCCCTCCTCCCTCCTCCCTCCTCCTCCTCCTCCTCGTCCTCCTCCTCCTCCTCCTCCTCCTCCTCCTCCTCCATCTCCTGCCTATGGTAGTGGTGGTCGCTCGTCACCAGTGGCAGGGAGGGCGAGAGGGGATGAGGATGCCGTGGGCGCGGCAACATTGGGCAGGAACGGCAGGAGAGGCAGGGAGTGGGCCGGACCTGCACACGCGCTGCCGCCGTGGCCTCCCTCATCACCCCCATTCTTCCCCTCCTCCTCCTCCTCCTCCCTCCTCCTCCTTCTCCTCCTCCGCCTCCTCCTCTCCTCCTCCTCCTCCTCCTCCTCTCCTCCTCCCTCCTCCTCCTCCTCCTCCTCCTCCCCCCTCCCGCCCCCCCCCTCCACCTCCCCTTCCTCCTCACCTCCTCCCTCCTCCTCCTCCTCCTCCTCCTCCTCCTAAGTCCTCCTCCTCCTCCTCCTTCTCCTCCTCCTCCTCCTCCTCCTCCCATCCCGCCCCTCCCCCTCCTTCACCTCCTCCTCTTCCTGCCCCTCCTCCTCCTCCTCCTCTTTCCTCCTCGTTTTCCTCCTCGTTCCTCCCTCCTCCTCCTCCTCCTCCTCCTCCTCCTCCTCCTCCTCCTCATGTTCCTCCTCCTCCTCCTCCTCCTCCTCCTCCTCCTCCTCCTCCGCTCCGTTCTCCTAGATCCTAGATGCCGGGGGGAAAGTGGAGACAGGTGAGGTGGAAAAGACTCGGACCTCCTCGCGTCGTGAAACAATGATTTATCCTGGCTTCAGGCCCGACCGTATGCAGCCGCGAGTGCCGCCAGCCAAGCGAGCAGAAGGATGGGGACGAGCAAAATAACGAATTGGGACGCTTGTCCAGGCGAAGGCGGTGCCGTGCGAACCCTGTCACTGGGGCTTTCGGTGGAGCTCTCTTTGGGGCCACGATCCTCGTGAGTGCCGAAGCGCAGGGAGGCATGTGGACCTGGGGTCTTCAGTAGAGCTCCCTTAGGGCCACGGTTCTCGTGAGGGGTGCGCCGAAATGGGCGGGGGAACGCGCACGAACCCTGGCAACGATGCCTTCGGTGGAGCTCCCCATGGGGCCACGATCCTCGTGAGGGGTGTCGAAATGGGCGGGGCGACGCGTGAGCCCCCTTGAGGGGCCACGATCCTCGTGAGGGGTGTGCCGAAATGCGCGGGGAGAACTCATGCGGTACCCCCCCTTCCACGGGGCCTTAATTGAAGCTCTTTGTATGAAGCCCCGAAGCGTGCGAGCAGTGTGCCGAAGTGGGCTGGGAGACCGCATGTGGTCCCCCCCCATGTGGGGCTTTAGTTGGAGCTCCCGATGGAGCCACGGAACGTGCGAGGGCTGTGCCGCAATAGGCTGGGGGACCGCGTGCGCCCCCCCCCACATGGGGCCTTGGTTGAAGCTCCCGATGGGGCCATGAAAAGTGTGCGGGATGTACCGAACTTGCTGGGCCACCGCATGTGGTACCCCCCTCTGGGGGCTTAGTTCGAACTCCCTATCGGTCACGAAGTGTGTGAGGGGTGTACCGAACAGGGCATGCGGAGGGCAGAGGCACGGATGGGAGAAGGGACGTGGGAGGTTCGGTGAGATGAGGTGACGCGGGGCGCTCTCCTCAAACCGAGGACCCAACACGACGGGTTGGTCGGGGAAAACGCTGTCGCCCATTCGCTGACCTTGGCCCATGAGGGTCCTCGGCTGGCGCTGGGGTTGTCAAACAATCGTCACTGGGCCGACTCGGGATGAAGATCCAATCCCAGGGACGTGGTCGGTCTCCAGCACTCCCGGGATCCACGCTGCAAAACAAAGGAGCACGACGGCGGAGCTCCGGGAGGAGAAGGAGGAGGAAGAGGAGGCGGCGGCGGAGGAGGGCAGCGATGAAGTGAGGAATCTGGATATTTCTTAGGGTGGAGGGCTCAGGGCGAAATCCATATGGGCGCTTGCACCTCGAAAATCAATCCGTCTTGTGATTCACCTTTGCAGATTCAAGCCTTGAAAACCAATTGGAACGGCATTTCAGATTTTACTGTTTGCCCTCCACCCAAAGAAAATGCTCGGGGAATGAGGGACGGATGAAGGGGAGGAGGGAAGAGAAGGGGGAGGCGGGGGAGTAGGGGGAGCTGGAGGAGGAGACGGAGCGAGGATGAAGAATAAGGAGCAGGAGGGCCCCACTTCTCATCCTGCTGCGGGGACAGCAAGCGACCACAACCACATCGAGGACGCACCCTGGGGGATGTTTTGCAAGGGCCAACAGTCGTTGGAACACCAGAACCAGCTCAGGCACTGGTCGTGGTCGATGTGGGCGTCCCAGACGGCCAAATCGACCACAACCACAGCAAAAGTGCTCGTGTCGAGGTCGGTGGGCTCTCCCCTGCGGGGACCTCCAGAAACAGCCACTCAAACGGTTGTGGTGCTCTGTTGTGCCCGGATCCTCGTCCGTTTCCTCCCTCCGCCCCCTGGTCATTCCATGGGGTGTGGTGGGTGGCAGAAATTAGGAGGCAACTACTGGGAGGTCACCGTCGGAAGGATCAAGGAGAATTGAGACCCATCAGTGGGCTGCTACGCCGGATCAGGCCGCGGACTCAACGGGATTAGGCCAGATTGAACGGGAATAAGCGGTACTAAACGGGATCAGACGGGATGAAACCGAATTTAGCCGCATGTCGGACCAGGGCAACATCAGGAATTGACCTCCCAGGAGTTGCATCCGAACAGAAGCATGTCTCCGGTCGCCGAGTTGTTCTGAAGCGGGCACTCGACGTAGTACTGGCGGGCGCGCGCTCTTCGCCCCCCGCCCATCCTGCCACGACAAACCAGGACCGGGACAACACAGCACCGGGACACATCGGGGACCTCCGAGATCCCGAGGTTCTGAGGAGTGTGCATGCCCAAAGCCCCTCGAGTCATGAAAAAATGACGACGGGAGGTCTTTCGCTAGTTTCGACCTCCAAGGGCCCGCGCCAGGCCTCGGGACCGTCAAACAACGACTCAGGATGAAAAATCTGCTCCGGGGAGTGGGTCGAGACCTCCAGGTGTCGACGTTAAGAAAAATCATGACGCCGGGGGTCTGGGTACAAAGCGCCACGACTTTCCCAGAGCGCTCCAAACCGCTCTGAGAGGAGTTCTGGCACGCTCTGAAGCGATATACCCCGATACCGGACCCGAATGCAGTTGCTCCTCCTCTGGCCTCGGACAATTCCCAAGCGGCCCGCGAGTGGCCCAGAAAGAACCCTGTCCAAGACGTGTCCTATGGGGCCACGAAGCGTGTGAAATGGGTGGCGGGGACGCATGTGGTCACATCCACTGGGGCCTTCGGTGGAACTCCCAATGGGGCCACTAAACATGTGAGGGGTGTGCCGACATGGGTGGCGGGGACGTATGTGGTCACAGCCACTGGGGCCTTGGGTGGCGCCCCCTATGGGGCCACGAAACGCGTGAGGGGTGTGCCGAAACGCATGTGGTCGCAGCCATTGGGGCCTTCTGTGGAGCTCCCTACGGGGCCCCGAATCGTGTGAAGGGTGTGCCGAAATGAATAGCGGGGGCGCATGTGGTCACAGCCACTGTGGCTTCCAGCTTTCGGTGGAGCTCCCTATGAAACCACGAAACGTGTGAGGAATGTGTCGACATGGGTTGCGGGGACGCATGTGGTAACAGCTACTGGGGCCTTCGGTGGAGCTCCCTACGGGGCCACAGAGCGCGTGAGGGGTGTGCCGACATGGGTGGCGGGGACGCATGTGGTCACAGTCACTGGGTCTTCGGTGGAGCTCCATTGGGACCACGAAGCATGCGAGGGGTGTGCCGAAATGGGTGGCGGGGACGCATGTGGTCGCAGCCACTGGGGCCTTCGGTGAAGCTCCCCATGGGGCCACGAAACGTGTGAGGGGTGTGCTGCAAACGTTCTTAAAAACGCAAAGGGCGTTTTTTGTATCCGTTTTCAAGGTCGAGATGTTTTCTGTTTGGGGAGCCGTGCTTTCTCGGTTTTGGGATAGCCGTCTTGCCGTTTTCAGTTCGTCTTGCGATCCGTTTTCTTTTTGACTGCCGTTGTTGTTATGTTTCCCGTTTCTGTCAATTCTGTTCTGCTTTGGGTTGTCATATTTCTCTGTGTTGGATTGCTGCTTTTCGCTCGCTTTGGGCCCAGCCGGTGTCGCGTTTGCTCTGTTTCGGGTTGCCTTTTTTATTGGTTGGTCAACCGCAACACGAAAAGTTGATAACAACAAAGAAATGTATTGAAGAACAACTAAGAGTGTGTCGAAATGTGGGACAAGAACGCATGTGGTCACAGCCACTGGGGCCTTCGTTGGACCTCCGCATGGGGCCACGAAGCGTGTGAGGGGTGTGCCGACATGGGTGGCGGGAGCGCGTGTGGTCACAGCCACTGTGGCCTTCGGTGTCACCGAAGGCCACAGTGAAGCTCCCTAAGAATGGTGCTACGAAGCACGCGAGGGGTGTGCCGAAATGGGTGGCGGGGACGCGTGTGGTCGCAGCCACTGGGGACTTCGGTGAAGCTCCCTAATAATGGTGCCACGAAGCATGCGAGGGGTGTCCCGAAATGGGTGGCGGGGACGCGCGTGGTCACAGCCACTGGGGCCTTCGTTGGAGCTCCCTGTAGGGCCACGAAGCGTATGAGGGGTGCGCCGAAATTGGTGATGGCGGGAATGCATGTGGTCACAGCCACTAGGGCCTTCGGTGGAGCTCCCTGTGGAGCCACGAATCGCTGTGCTAGGTGCGCCGAAATGGAGGAAAGGGAGGAGGAAGAGGAGGAAAAGGAGAAAAAACGCGGGGCGCTGTCTCTTCAAAACGAGGACCCAACACCTCAAGATTGTTGGGAAAACGTTTCCATCACTTGGGGGTGCATCTGCTACTTCCGCTGGCTTCCGCCACCCTGCCGCCAGCTGCCGCCAGCTTCCGCCGGCGGAGCCGGCTTCGTTTTGATTATGCTGCCCTCCGCCGACCTTCCTCGGCGTTCCGCCAAGGAGGAGATGCTAACCCCTTCGATCCTCGAAGGCGAAGCCCTTTCTGTAACGCTCCACTTAGCAAGCAGTCCCCAGACATCCCGGCCCTCTCCCGTGTCCCCAGTCGGTGGCGCGCAAACATGGATTGGCGATCCATGGATTTGGCGCGCGGTCGCCTAATCCATGGATCGGGGGAGGTGCCCTCCCCAAAATGCGGCCAGTGCCGCCTGGTTCGGTGGCGGACATCCGCGATTTCCCATGGAAGCGGGAGCCGTCGCTAATCCACGCCCCCTTGATCCATGTTTGCGATCGCCTGACCCAGGGCGGGGGCTTTTCATCCAGAATTGTTTTGTGACGGCCCTGGGGCCCTGCGATGGCCCCTGCGGCGCCAAAACTGAACATCGCTTGACCGACCTCTATCCCCATAGGCGTGGCTGGGGCCCCACCGGCCGGCTTACCCCCCTAGCTGGGGATGTGGGCTGCTTCCCTCGGGTTTCACGAGGGGTAGATCCCCAACTGGAGTGCTGAGATGGTGGGGATCTGGATACTCATCGGTCGAAAGAAGTAGGTAGAACCATGAAGTAGGAAGGCGTTGGAAGTACATTGGGTTTCCGCCCGCGTCCTGAAGAGGAGGGAAGGAGGGAAAACCACTCGACTCTTGAAGTAGGAAGGCGGCTAAAGTAGATTGGGATCTGGAAATCCATCAATACGTACTTCCAACGACCGATGGGCCTGTCGGAAGAAGTAGGTAGAACCATGAAGTAGGAAGGCGGGGGAAGTAGATTGGGTTTGGGGCCGCCCCAAGAAAACACCCGCGATAATTACAAGAAGTGTATTACGATTTCTGGGCTCCCTCTTAGCGGCGCACAACAGCCCAAGGTCGCTCAGCCCCATCGGCCGCCCCTTCCCTCGCTGGTTTTGATAAATTTCGGTTGTCCGTCGGTTATCTGTGGTCGCGCCTGGCCCTCGGCTGGCCCTCGGTCGCTCAGCCCCTCGGCTGCCTCTCCCCTGGCTGCTGTTGGTTATTTTGGGTCGTCCATCGGTTGTCCATCGATTGCTCTGATCGCGCCTGGACCCTCGGCTGGCCCTCGGTCGCTCGGCCCATCGGCTGCCCCATCCCTGGCTGATTTTAATGGTTTTTGGTTGTCCGTCGGTTGCTCTGGTCGTGACTGGCCCCTCGGCTGGCCCTCAGTCGCTCGGTATCTCGGCAGACGAGAGACCGAGCGACCGAGGGCCAGCCGAGGGGCCACATCAACCGACGGACAACCGGAAAACAAAAAAACATAACCAGCCAGGAATCGGGCAGACGAGAAACCAAGCGACCGTGGGCCAGCCGAGGGCCAGGCGCGACCACAGCAACCGACGGACAACCGACGCACAACCGAAAAATCGCCAACACCAGCCAGGAAGGGGCAGACGAGACACCGAGCGACCGAGGGCCAGCCGAGGACCAGGCGCGACCATAGCAACCGCCGGACAATCGACGGACAACCGAAAAATAACAAAACCTGTCAGGAAGGGACAGACGAGAGACCGATGGCCAAGCGCGACCGCAGGAACCGACGGACAACCCGACGGACAACCGAAAAGTAACCAACACCAGCCAGCAAGGGGCAGACGAGAAACCGAACGACCGAAGGCCAGCCGAGGGCCAAGCGCGACCACAGCAACCGACGGACAACCGACGGACAACCGAGAAACAACCAAAACCAGCCAGGAATGGGGCAGACGAGAGACCGAGCGACCGAGTGCCAGCAGAGAGCCAAGTGCGACAACAGCAACCAACGGACAACCGACGGACAATCGAAAAATGACCAGAACCAGCCAGGAGGGTACAAACGAGAGACCGCGCGACCGAGGGCCAGCCGAGGACTCGGACTCGGCGCGACCGCGCCGACGGATAACCGAAAATTAACCAAAACCAGCCAAAACGCGGCAGACGAGATACCGAGCGACAGAGGGCCAACCGAGGGCCAAGCGCGACCGCAGCAACCGACAGACAACCGACGGACAACCGAAAAGTAACCAACACCAGCCAGCAAGGGGCAGACGAGAAATCGAGCGACCGAGGGCCAGCCGAGGGCCAGGCGCGACCACGGCAACCGCCGGACAACCGACGGACAACAGAAAAATAACCAAAACTAGCCAGGAAGGGGCAAACGAGAAACCGAGCGACCGTGGGCCAGCCGAGGGCCAGGCGCGACCACAGCAACCGACGGACAACCGACGGACAACCGAAAAATAACCAAAACCAGCCAGGAAGGGGCAGACCAGCAGACACCGAGCGACCGAGGGCCAGCCGAGGGCCAGGCGCGACCACAGCAACCGAAGGACAACCGACGGATAACCGAAAAATAACCAAAACCAGCCAAAACGCGGCAGACGAGATACCGAGCGACAGAGGGCCAACCGAGGGCCAAGCGCGACCGCAGCAACCGACAGACAACCGACGGACAACCGAAAAGTAACCAACACCAGCCAGCAAGGGGCAGACGAGAAATCGAGCGACCGAGGGCCAGCCGAGGGCCAGGCGCGACCACGGCAACCGCCGGACAACCGACGGACAACAGAAAAATAACCAAAACTAGCCAGGAAGGGGCAAACGAGAAACCGAGCGACCGTGGGCCAGCCGAGGGCCAGGCGCGACCACAGCAACCGACGGACAACCGACGGACAACCGAAAAATAACCAAAACCAGCCAGGAAGGGGCAGACCAGCAGACACCGAGCGACCGAGGGCCAGCCGAGGGCCAGGCGCGACCACAGCAACCGAAGGACAACCGACGGATAACCGAAAAATTACCAAAAACAGCCA